GTTGTGGAGTCTCCTTCTCTGGAGATCTTCAAAACCCCTTGGACGCAGTCCTGTGTAACATGCTCTGGGTGATCCTGCGTGTGCAGGGGGTTGGACTAGATGATCTCTAAAGGTCCCTTCCAACCCTTATGATTCTATGATGGAAATCTATGGATGAACACTGAACACAGAACTTTGAACTCCATTACTATTTACTATTTACTCTCAGTACTTTTCCCTGGTCCCACAGCACCCCAATCCATGGTGCCCAAGGGGCTATGCCTGAGCAATTATGGGCTCTGCTGTAATAGGGGATCTTTTCACAGCTGCCTCCGAGGAGGCACTGAAAAACCATGGCATCTCCAATTGCTGGTGCTGCCAGATGCCCTTGGTATGAAGAGAGGAAAACATCTTCTCAAGGTAAGCTGTGCAGGAGCTGGGTCACCAGGTATTCTTAACCATTGTCCAGGGTGAGTATTGAAGGCTAGGACAGCCATAGGATTGAGGAAGGGGGAAGGAGGTGGCCCCACATAGGAGCCCTGCAATGCTAACTGCCCTGCTCAGCTCTATCTCTTCTCCCACATCCAGATGTGGATGTCACAGCGCAGCAACCATGAGAGCACCTGGGAGCCCGGGCAACTTGTCTCAAAGTCCACACCAGCACAGCTTGCCTGCTCACAGCACTCACATGAGCCAGCTGACACCAACAAGCCCTGCCCCTACCGCAAACATGGCTCTGGCCGCAATGCAGACGTGTCCCTTGCTCACGGGTGTTGGAGCCCATTTCCCACCAGCATCTGCAGTCTGACCATGGGGTGGCTCTGCAAGCTTGGCGAGCTTGCATTACTAGTATGTGCTCCATGAAGAGGAGCGCTGGTCGACTAAGGCAAATAGACACTTGACTCTCTGATATTCCAGTTAACGACTTATCAGATGAGCAGATTTAATTGCAAATCCCTAAAGCTATCAGAAAATGAAATGGAGATGCCACTTGCAACCCAGTCACATATTTGACTTTTTCTGCTTCTCTTGCTCACAAACTGCTAGACACTGCTAGGAGGAAACACAAACAACCTTCCACGGCTCATCCATCCTGAACATCCACCCCTGGATGCAGATTTTGGTTTTAGCCCAGGTTGGGGTGATATGAGGGAGACCACAGGGCTGGTTATGCACTTGCTTCTCTGAAGGCAAAGGACTAAGGAGTGCTGGGAGGCTACTGGAGTGTGGGTCCTGTTACCCTGCAGCTGGCCAGACTGCCAGGTCTCCAGCCGGGAACCTTGTTAGTAAACGCACCATTCTGTCATCCCAAAGCTTCTGTGCCAATCCAGTTCTTCTTCACCACTTGGCAGCATCTCCCAGCTTTGTCCTCCTGTTTTTTTCCAGCATATCCCAACCGTTAGTGACAACCTCCATGAGGTCAAGGCCCAGCCTGCCCTCAGTTTCCTCAGGATCCTCCTCACTGCTCCTTCTCTTCTCCAGATTAAAAAGGAATTTCTGAAGCCCACACTGGCTACAGCTGCTCCATTCCCACTGCTGAGAAAAACAGGTATCTTATTAAAGCTTGTTTGTGTGGTGGGATCTCCCCTTGGAGACACGAATTGTGTTTTGTCACATCTTTGATTTCTCTTTCCCCAAAACCCTTGCAAATGCCTAGTCCTAGATCCTTCTTCTCCTATCAGATGTAGCCTCCATTGGAAAGATGCTTTGCACCCTTGCCAAAAAACAGCAGCGCTTATTCTTGTTGAGCTGAGATGAAGCCACAGTCCCCTACCACAGCCCTGCTCATGTGCAGCAGACCTCTGCAGACCTACCTCCTCTCTGAACTGTCCCCGCATCCTAATGTTGTCATCCATCACCCCACCTTTGCCCTAAAGTGTCATTGTCCTAGAAAACTGGCAGAGAGCAATCCCTGACCTCTCTGATATTGAACTGAGAAGCACCTCAAGGCTGCTTGTGCCTCAACTACATGACTGAAGAGTTTGTATTAATCTCCTAAGACAATAAGCAACTCTCCCTCTGCACTCCTTTATCTTTCAGTTCAGACTTACTGCTTTTCAGGCTCGTTTCCTTTTTTGCAGATTTTCTGGCCATTCCATACTTACTTTTTGGTGCACATATATTATCTGTTCATTAGGGGAGAAGCCCTACTCTACCAACCGCTCCTTTGTGCTCAAGAGGGAATTTTCACTTGTTTTTGTCTTTGGCTTCAGGCATTTCCAGCCCTTTTCTGCATTTGCATGCCTGTTTTCCCAGATCAATACAGCTGCAGTAACTAGATCTTTTTTTTCACTTTTCCTCATCTGTGGGTATTCAGACACACAGCCACAAATGGGCTTCTGTTGATCTTCCACTTAAGTGAAATTTCATAGATTTATGCACACCCCCATAGAAGTGATTTTCTACAGATAGCTTTTGTACAACAACCTATTTTGGGGAACAAAAATATTGGAAAAAAACCCACTTGCTACATGGTGTGATCTGGTAAAAACATGGGTGAGGTGACATACTGAGAGATATCTGGAGCCCCCACTGTAGATCAGCCTGCAGTTTATAACCTCCTGCTACAAAGAGTTCTCTCTTAATGGAGCCCCCACTGTAGATCAGCCTGCAATTTATAACCTCCTGCTACAAAGAGTTCATCTTCCTAGAAAAAAAAAAGTTCTCTCTTAGGGCTTTATGTTCATCCCAGTTGGATTGAGGAACCTGTGTTTCCCAGCACTGTCCAGGGTACTTCCTCTCCCTCTTTCCCAAGGTCATTGGGATCTAGCAGATCCTTCAATGATGCCTTTCCATCTGTTGGGCTGTGCTACCCTTCCACTTTGCCTCCCTTTCTTATCCTTCTTCCAAACAGCTCTTCTCTACTTCTGTTTCTGCTATGGCCCCACCAACTATTTCTCTGAGCTCCTGAAACATCTGCTTTCATGGGCTGCTCCATGTAGTAGTTTGAGTTCCTTCATACCGGCCTGGTGTGATACCACTGTTTCTGTTATTTCTTATGGACCATCTGCTTTTTCTGACCCAAAGGAGATACCAGTCTTTTGCTTGCCTACATCACTTTCCCAGCTGTTCTTTTTATCCAGGTCCTTTCCGTCCCTTTATCTCTCCTCTCCATTGCTATGCCCTTATTTACCAGCTCCTACTCTTCTAGCACATGTCCAAACAAGAAAGTTCATGCCTTTTCTTTGACTTCCATTCGCTCCTTGGCTCAAAGCCTGACACATAATTTCTGCCCACCTGGATCACTGCGCTTTTCCCTTCATACTGGGGTGCCTTTTTGCATAAGACCTAGACTTAGACTTAGCCAAAAAACAAACAAACAAGCAAACAAGTCTCTGATCATCTCCCTCCTGCTCTTCTTTCTGTCTTTGGAATCATTAGCCTTTGGTCCATTCTTAAAATATTCTGTACCTCATCTTCATTTATTCCTGAGCTCCAGTCTCACATTATGTTCAGTCTTTCCCTTATCCTCCAGGCTTTTGTGTTTTACTTTTTTTTTTTTTCTTTGTCATACTCTAATCTGTTTGAACCACACAATCACCTCCAGGGCCCTTCCTGGTCCTTATGTGATCTCTCAGAGGTGCCTCCTCACATAACTTTTTTGGTGTGCACACAAGGCTAGCACATAAAGTTCAGTTTTTGCATGGAAACCCCTTCCTTGTCTGTTATTTTTAAGTTTATTTATTTTACCAGATTTTACCCTCTTGCCAAAATAATAAATAAATAATCTGTTCACATAGCCTATGAAGGAGAGGACAAACAGGAGGTCTTTATGTCATCTGTTTGCAGTGGTTGGCGCATCATTTACTAATGATGTAAAGAGGATTTTCTCCATTGATAGGCAGTAACAGTTCAGCAAGGCAAAGCCCAGCCTTCCATGCTTTGGGGAAATATTAGACCACTTTTCAATTATGCTCATGAAAACAGGAGGGAGTGAAGAGTTGCTCCCATTCATTCTCGTTTAGCAGTCCCTGGGATCCTTAATGACTACACTGCTCAGGTTTCTGGGTTTTGGTGTCCTGCAGCTGATAGAGAGTTTTCCACCTTAAACATGGGTCCTTCCCCAGCTCAGAGGGAGATGCAGTGAGGTGACCTTGCTGTGCCCTGGTTCTCCAAATAAGTACCAGAAGATCTGGAGACATTTTAGCCATGTCAGTCTGGTTTCTACCAGAGTTTGCTAGCTGTCATAGAGATCATTAGCCAAAGAGTAGCCTCCATACTAGCCAAAACAGATCTACTGGGGAATGGGAACATATCCACACAAGTATGGGTAAGTTTCTTTGGGGTTGGTTTGAATGTTAAAAGCCCACAGGCTGAGACTCACCATCTGTCTCCACAGATTTTTCCCATCCTCAGTGCTCCTGGAGGGAGATGTGATGTGTGCAAGAGGCAATGACATGGCTTCAGCCCAAGATACCAGCACAACACAGGGTAAGTGATGTCCAATGGCAGGGGTGAGAGTTCACCTTCCTTCCAGCTGTCCATTATTTCTTCTTGCTCTTTCTCTAGGTAAGCCTTGAATGCCTGCAGTGTGGAAATGTCAGCAGCCCCACTACATTTTTTCTTTTGGGTTTTTCCAAGGCCTACAAAGCACAGGTGACTCTCTGCCTGGGCTTTTTACTCATCTATCTGGTGACTCTGCTGGGGAATCTCCTCATAATGACCCTCATCTGTCTGGATAGTCACCTGCATTCACCTATGTACTACTTCCTGGGCCACCTCTCCTTCCTGGACATCTGCTACTCCTCTGTCACCCTTCCTAAGATCCTCAAAGACACCTTCTCATCACAGAAGACCATTTCGTTTGTGGGCTGCATTACACAGATCTATTTTTTCCTTTGCTTTGGGGGTTCTGAGTGTGTGCTCCTAACTGCCATGGCCTATGATCGGTATCTGGCCATCTGTCACCCCCTCCACTACACAACACTCATGAACAAGAAGATATGCTTTTGTTTAGTGGTTGTTTCATGGATGAGTGGCTCATTCTCATCTCTGATCCAAGCCTTCATCATAGCCAACTTACCCTTTTGTGGGTCCAATGTGATTGACCACTTGTTCTGTGAGGTGCCCTTCTTGCTGAAGGCATCCTGCAGCCCTAACACTCACTTCGATAAGCTTGTGTCATATGCTTTGGCAGGGACTATTGCAATGGGGTCTTTCATCCTTATTCTTGTGTCATATATTCACATCATCCGGGCTGTCCTCCTGAGAAGAGCAGGAAGGCAGAAGGCCTTTGCTACCTGCACCTCCCATCTGACTGTGGTATCCCTGTTCTTTGGCGCTGGGGCCATCACATACTTGATGCCTCATTCCAGCCTTTCCAAGGATGTACATGAGGTCCTTGCCCTGCTGTACGCTGTTGTAACCCCCATGATGAACCCTGTCATCTACAGCTTGAGGAACAGTGAAGTCAAAGGGGCCATCAGGAAGGCCCTGCATAGGGGGGCACTGGAGCAGAGAGTCTCTGCTTAGACACCTGGGCAGCTACAGGCCAACAGCAGAGGTGTCACTGCTGAGTTACTGTCACCATGTCAGGGTGCAGATGCAGTTTGGTACGGAAGTGACCTTGGGGCTCCCCTCAGGGTCCAGGTGTCTTGGGGCTGGCAGTGCTGGGGCACAGCGCACAACCAGTGGCTCCTCGATCTCTCTAATCAATGTGTGGGATGTCCAGGCCCTTTATTTGCTTAATGGCAACCCTGGGACAGGGTGTCTAATCTATAGCATCGTTACAGTGCCCCTTTTTTTTTTTGTCTTTTTTCCCTTTGTGTCTGCAATCCCTAGCACAGCTAACCCCAGCACCCACAGTGAGATTTAGAAAGGCCCAAAAGCTCAAAAGGCTCAAAAAGCCCAAGTGCAATCCAGGGCAGATTCTCTGTGTTTCATCTGATAACAAAAGCCAAATAGCATCCTTCTGGTGCAAAGTTTTGCAGACATCTACACCCTCTTGGACGAGTACATCTTTGGCAAGCAGGAGGATGATGCATAACGTCCTCCAGAGAGCTGAATAGATTAGGAGGTAGTTTTATAAAATTGATAAACGTTGGCCACAGAGGTTTTCCTAAGTAGTAATTCTGGGAACTTTTTTTCATAAGAAATAGATATTTCCAGGGAGAAAAGTTGAACTGAATGATCCCATAATGCCAATGCCCTAGCTAAGTCTTACGGTTTTAATCATTTATCAGCATCAGGCTTTTGTTAAGCTCTCTGGAAAAAGCTCTGTTTCTAAGCAAAGCCCTTTCTGATGTGCAATGTTGTGCAAAGTACAGCAGTAATGCTCTATAAGCATCTCCTGTTAAGTGGTGAATAATCTTGTCTGGGCTGTAGCTGCAGATACTGCAGAGCCGGATGTCATTCTCTTAATGCAATAAAATATGTATAAGCAGGAAAACCATTGTCAGGGGATTGATCTTTGTAGTTTCAGGAATCAGAGTTAATCCTGGGAATGGACAGCTGTTTCCCCAAGCATAATGGTGGCAATAAGGCACTAGTGTGGGTGGTACCTGGACAAGCCTGAAGAGAGCATATTAATCTGGTTCATGACGTACTTTCTGGAGGATTTCACAGGGGCTTTTGGCACTATGAAGAGATGAGATGGGGTTAGCTTGTGGTCATGAATAAAATGGTGTAAAAGAACACTGTGACTACTGCTTAAAGTGTGCAATAGGATACACTTACTGGGACTGTGAAAAACATCCTTCTTGGACCTCAGATGAATTCTGGCTAGTGATTTCTTTACAAATTAGAGTTTGTAAGAGTCTCCTATTTAGCAGAAATCATGGGAACTCTTTGATTAGAATAAATCCTTTCTCATGATTAACTTGTTGTCAACCAGAACATCCAAATCCCTCTCCGTGGACCTACTGTCCAGCAGGTCAACCCCTAATCTGCACTGGTGTCTGTGGTTATTCCTTCTCAGGTGCAGGACCCTGCACTTGTCCTTGTTGAACATCATGAAGTTCATCTCTGCCCAACTCTCCATCCTATCCAGTCTCTCTGAATGGCAGCGCAGCCCTCTGGAGTGTCGGCCACTCCTCCCAGTTTGGTGTCATCTGCAAACTTGCTGAGGGTGCCCCCTGTCCCCTCATCCAAGTCACTGATGAACAAGTTGAACAGCACTGGGCCCAGTACTGATCCCTGGGGAACACCACTGGCCACAGGCCTCCAACTAGACTTGACCCCATTTATCACCACCCTCTGAGCTCTGCCATCCAACCAGTTCTCAATCCACCCCACTCTCCGTTCATCTAACCCACACTTCCAGAGCTTCCCTATGAGGATGCTATGTTATCAGACCTACCTATTTAGGGAAATGCCTGCTTTCTTTAGAACAGTACATCTGAGTGAAGAAAGAGGTTCTTAACGGTATGGCATTGTCTGCTCTCGACTGCTAAAAGCAGCTTCCAGGTGCCAAAAGAAAGCAGAGGGCAATCAATGCTCCTGCTCAGTCACTGGTGCCAGGAATGTAAAGGTGATGTGGGAAAGTTTGGATGATCTTGCAGATAAATCTTTCTCCAAAATGCCTTTTACCAGAATGGCAGAGTTTTATCTGATGACAGTGCCTTATAGTTCCTTACATTTTTGGTAGAAGAGAACAAAGAAGCCAAAACGTGTCCAGTGTGGCTTGGTGGAAGAAGTGCTCTGCTCTCACTGCCTGGAAGTACCTCAGCCAGGAGAGTGAGAGCAGACATCAATGTAGATAAAGGTGATGAAAGACGGGATAGGTATGGAGTGCATGCTATAGCTTTAGAACAAATGATATACACCAGCTAAATGTAATGAATTATATTCATTACTTTCTTAGCAAAGAGAAGATTAAGGAAAATTTATCCCTGCAGTTGAAGGGAGTAGGGTAATAATCGTCATGTGGACAAGGACACAGAAAGGTTGAGGTACTCATGTCTTCTCGTCTGAGTCCTTGCTGGCAATGCCTTTTCCCACCTGACCATGAGAAACCTGCTGCTCTTGATGTGAATTGAGGGCCCTCAAGTTCAAAAGACCGCTAGGAAGAATAGGCCTAGATTTAGCTCCATTCCCTTCTTTGACATCCCAGAATGATTTCAGAATAGTTCTGAGATCTTGTCCATGAAGACAAGAATTCTCCCCAAACTATCACCTCAAACACACAGAAAAGATGTCTCCTGGAGAAGGTGGATCTTGGATACTGTGTGCTGTGTAGCCCCCATAGGCCAAACTACCGGGAAGCTCAGAAAAACACAAGCCTCCTCGCTGTTCTCCCTTCAGCATATTTTTTTTTGCTAAAGATGCTGAACTACCAGTGCAATATTAATAAAATTCACATAGGTCCCATGAATAGGATAAAACAGATCATATTTCTAAGGTCGAGTTTGATGACTTGGGAAGTTCACTTTACTTCCTGCCTAGCAGTTTGCTTGAAACTGTGAATGAAGTAATGGTGATCTGCACAGAAGGATCATGTCTTCAAGCAACAGTCTTGTTCCACAAAATAATGCTTTAGTAGAGTTGCTGATTTTTGCAATACATATTCACTTAATATGACTGTCCTCCTGATCTAATGCTGTTTCTTACAAATATACATAGATGACTGTCTGAAAATGCTGGAGTCAAACTTTGAAAGATCAAAATGTGCAGATGGACTTAAGTAGCAGTTTAGTTCTCCAAGTCACTGTACTTTGCTTAGTTTTCTGTGGGAACTGGGGGCTCATATGCTCAGTATTGCAACAAAAAAGTCAGATGTTTTGGGGGGTAAAAGCAGCAGATTTGGTGAATTGATACTCAGACCTGAGGGGTGAAGACAGCTCCAGAAAGAGCTTTGCAGGGAGGGAATGCCAGGGAAGCAGGTTCTGGACCTAGACCAGAATAAAATTCATGATGACTCCAGAAAAAACAAGGCAAGAGACCAGAAGGGTGTTGTTTTGAGTTCTGCATCATTCTCTGGAGCCTATTATGTTGATCCAAAGGAAAGTATCAGCAGAGCTGCACCTGACAGAGAATTTCTCATTCCTCCTCTTTCCGTCCCCTCTTAAGGACCTGAGGGGAAGGCTTTGTCCCAGGCCTCGGTAGGTACATATTGTTCGAGTACACACATAAATAAACACTAACTCAGGTGAGGCCAGAACTAATGGTGTTATCTCTCCATCAAGACTAGTCATCACATAAATGGCCAAGGGAGACGGGGGAGGGCTTGCTCTGCTGCCTCCAAGGATCTGTGCACAGGCATATAAGCTTGGAGAGGTCCCTGAACACCTCATCTCTCTCGTGAGTGTTGCAAGAGTGTTGGTGCACTGGGGGGCAGTGAGAGCAGCCGTGTAGATGAAGGTAGTTCTAGTGCTCCTGGATTTGACACTTCTACTGGCGCTTCAGGCCCAGTCCCAAATCTCTTTGAAAGAAAATTTTGATACAGAAAAGGTAATGTCATGTGAGGGAATCTTCCTCTGGTGGAGATGGGGATGATGTATTGCTTGGACACAGCCTTCACAAGGAATCAAGGGTCAGACAAAACTTACTTACTGGAGTATTTTTGAAAAAGGACCACAGTTCCTGCTGGAAGTTAAATTCCCTCAGACTTTCCAGAATTTAATAGAAGGGCATTTGAATGTCTGAACACTTCAGTAGGATATTTAGCACCCTAGTGAGGTTTGCAACGTACTTGGTCCAAATGGATAAATTTTGCATCTGGCTTTTTTTTTTTTTTTGGCAGATCCCTGCTCTACCTTGGAGAAATGGTGCTTTTCCACCCAATTAGCAGCCTAAACAGAGAAGGGAGTAGCAGAGGTCCTGCTTGAGGCCTAAAAAATCTCATCATTTTCTTTATTAATTAAAGCAGAGGCATTCTCTCTAGATCGCTGGGAAGTGGCATACCATCGCCATAGCTTCTGATTCCGACTGGATTGAACACCTTCGGAAGAATGGGAGGATGTCCGTGAGCACCGTAGAACCTCAAAGTACTGGCAAAATAATCATCAATACATTTATCCCTAGGTAAGTGTCAATGCAAATCTTCCCACTTGCTATGGCTTTTGCACAGGGTTCTTCTTTTTGCCCTTCACCTTGGGTAGCTCTTGAGTTCTTTATAAAACAGAGAAAGAAAGAACCAGATGGGTCCTGTGGGTGTTCATTGCTTTGAGTCTTGGTAACACAGGCAGGTTGCTTTGAGTGGACGGAGCAGAGCTCTCAAGAGCTGGTCTCTAACCTCCAGCTTGGAATGATGACCAACCGGCTGTAGAAAAACAGCGCACACATGGGAACAAACATCTGTCATGTGGCTGGGGATTTCAGCAGGTGAGACCAGAGCTCACAGCTCTGAGCCCAGCTTCTCCTTCCAACAGCTTCTCCTGCTGCTGGTTGAGACCTGAAGTACAGCCTAATTTTGCAATCATGGAACAAAACTGTGCAAGGAAACCCCAGGTCTGGTTGGGGACATTTAATCCTTCCAGTTACAGGTGGATTCGGAGGGTTAATTCATCTGCAGGGATTTGTAAGGCACTTTCAAGTGGTCAGTGTTATTAAGGACTTGCTATTATTCTCTTGCATCCACTATCAGACTGCATCAGCAACTGAAGTACCACTAAATAAGAGAAATTAGACAAAAAAAAATCCCTTTGCAATCTTCGTATTTAATCTATCCTTTACAAGCGCGAAATTATCTTCAATTCTCATTCTAGAAGCAGGTCTGAAAAGATAAGCTAAAATCAACTGAGATTCCTCTCAGTGGAGAAGACTGATATGGTTTCACATATTTTAAAGACCTGAAGAGCTTTTGCTTAGTGCTGGCTAGAGGATCCCACCCAGTTTACTCTATGTTGGGTTGTTAAACTAGTCTTGGTTAGAAGATGTTTAGAGACAGAAAACAGAGCACTCCTTGGCAGCTTCCTTTTAACCACCTACTAATTATGCCTTGTGTCTAATCGAAATTGCCAGAGGTCAAGCCCCAGCTGCAGCTTCATGCCTCTCAAAAGCTCTCTAAGTCATGGCAATCAAATGGCTTCTTGACTTGCTTTTTGAGGAAGCCAAGGGAAATGCAGTGGAGCTGCTCCAAAACCAAGAGCATAGGGAAAACTGAAGGTTTTGGACCCTGCCATCCAGTGTACAATTGCCTTTACTATTATTTATCCTCCAGCCCTGCAGGATGCGTGCAGAGGAAAATGGTCCTGAGAAAGAATGATGGTTCCGGTCTATATGTAAACTCCCGTAAGTACTGGAGCAGCAGGAAGGAGGAAACAAGAGATCTATTAACTGACCCAGCAGCAGGATTTAAGCCATTCCCAGAAAAAAAAACAACAACAACAACAACAAAAAAAACGACCTCCATGACATGAACTCTATTGGCCACTGTGTAGGCTAGGGTTTCTGTGTAGGCTAAATAGATCATTGTGCCCATTTGAGGGACAAATATCCCCTTTTTGTGCTGCACGAAGCGGCCACTTCACAGGGTTTACCCTGGAGAGACCATCTGGTGGCTCTGGTTTACGTGTGTGTCTGGTTGTTGGTGAGGGTAACTACTAGGTTAATTCAGGAACACATTGCCCAGCAACATCCTCAGATAATAATAATAATAATAATAACAACAACAACACTGGGATACACTTCTAGAATCCAAAACTTCCTCTTGGTGATTTTGTTGGATATAGCACTAGCAAGGTCCTCCAAACACACTCCCAGTATTTATCGTAGAGCCCACCAATGACAAAAGCAAGCATTGTTCCCAAAGGGAAATAAATGGACTAAGTAAATTACTTTTTTTTCAGGCTTTTTGCAGCCTTCGAATTTCAGTGATGACTTGCAGCAAACAAATAATACTTCTCACAAGCCTGGTAAGAAACAATATCTGCAGTCCCGTCCAGCATGGCTTGATGGTGCTGTCTCCATCTCCCAGCTCTTGGGCACAGAGCACTCCCCTTCCAAGTGTCCAGGACCCTCTGTTTTCTTTTGCAGGGGGAAATCTCGATGACTGTGGCCTGGTGGACACTGACTACAGCAATTACGCCATCGTCCTTGGCCACCGAGTCTACAACGGGCAGAAGATCTTAGTGCTGCTTCTCTACAGTAAGTGCAGGAGAAAGCACATGAAAGTGCAGTAAAACACAGGGAGGAGAAGGGTGTTTGGGGCAGGCTCTCTGCCAAGCTTCTCCAAGCAGACAGAAACTGCCAGGCAGTTTGCTGTCACCATCCCCATCACTCTGGAGGTGTCTGGAGGCTGGATGCTGCATGGCTGGTCTGGCAGCACCCTGAGCTTGCTGAGAGAGAGCAGGAACCTCAAGGGACTCAAAGTTTTCCCAGTGCCATCTCCCTTGCAAGCCAGCCCTGCTCCACCAGAGCAGTTTTCAGGGCAGTGTTTTGGTGCAGGCTGCAGGTAGCAGCAGTGTGACTCATTCTCTGTCATCTGCAGGCAGAAAGAGTGCTGTGAAACCACTCGTGTTACAGAAATTCAATGACACCATAATGCATGTGGGACTTTCCAAGGAACAGATGGTCATGCTGCCCAAAGCAAGTAAGAGAATCTGTCAGCCCCTGCCCATGGGTCCTCCTTGCAGCTGGGATGCAATTCTCCTCTGTGCGCAGGTCTTGCTTGCATGGCATGCAGTAATAGTGCTGAGGTGGTGAGCAGCAAAGTGTCCTTTTGTCACCTCCACTTGACTCCTGCATGAAGCCCACGTGAGCACCGTGCACAAATGGGCAGTAAGGGCAGAGCTGCCCCAGGATGCCTGGTGCCCTGAGCTGCGCCAGGCTCAGCACCTGGGGGGACATAGCCAGCACATGGGGCACAAGGAATAAACACTAATGAACGAGATGACCCTCTACAGGGTGCATGGGGGATTTGGGGCTGTGCTGAGCACCCATTTGGGTGGCTGCTGGGCAACGTAGCCCTGTGCTGAGTCAACTTGGGCTTCTCTCTGAAGAAGCACGTAAG